AGTATTCCAGTGGATGCGATCTACAACCTCTGAATTTGCCTAGTAACGATGAATTCGTCGAGAAAAATAGTCTGTATTTCTCTTCTTTTTTTTTAATTCTTTAGCGTAAAACTAAAATTCATGCCAATATTTTTTCCATGATTTATAATAATTGGAGTAATGCAAATGCATATTTTCTAAAAAAAAAGTCAGTTTTTAGTGAAATTTTGCCGGGAATGGGGCTTTAAACATGTTTAATATTTCTCACGACGGCTTAAGACTGTCCCCGACGATAAATCGCGTCGGGCTGCGTCGGCCGACGCTGTCTGAGTTGACCTTAACGCTTATGCGCTCTCGTGCGCCTGTCCTCAGGGCTCCCGACCTTTAGGGCCCCTACCATACGGTCTAGCACCCTGACCCAAATGGCTTATTGATACTGTACAGCATGCAGCATATCGACTGTAGGATATAGGCCTACTGTATATCATATTTTATCCAGTGATGTATTAAGGTTGGGGGGGGTTGACAGCCGGCCTGGGTCCCCATAAATCTGTCAAAATTTTTTTTTTTAACCGAGATAAAAAGAAAAACATTCAAATTATATTAAGTGTCATTTCCGGCCATCTAGAAGTGCCACAATCATAAATTCTCTTACCTCTGCAGCCCCAACCATGGTGTGGCTGCGGTAGTATAAAACCGTCATCAGTGAAGCCTCTCCCAGTCCCCCTCTATTTCATTTTTCGCAAGGGTGGTGCCAGCGGAGGGCGGGGACCAGGGACCCCCGTCGGGAGAGCTGGCCCCCCGAGGAGAAAAAAATGTTCATGTATTTTCTACATATTGGTAGACCCCAAAACCATTCGGTAAGCCTTTGAAACCCCTAAATTGTCACATTGGCGCCACCACTGAATTTTCGTCGTTAAAAACTTTAAAAATACTGTACAATGACAAAAACATGATTAAAATACGAGCATATCTAAAAATCCACAATGAACTTGGCATGGAAAGGGAAGCCAAGCACCTTAAGATATAGGAGATATATAAACGTGATCGTCATGGCCCTGGATAACGCTAATTCTACCACCAAGACAGGGACGTATCCAATGGTATGGTGGGGAGGTGGGTTGGTAGCCGTGGAAACCGAGGCTCCTTCCCCACCCCTTTGTACACAGTTTTAGTATTCTAAATTTTGTTTTGCTAGCCAATACAAATTCTTTCCTGGGATCACTCAAAATGAATTACTTCTAAAATTGTGTACGATAAATATGCATCAGCACACATTATACATATAATACAGTACTATGATTATAATACATAGGCCTATTTTGTTTACTGTACACATACAGTATTAGAAATACAAATATAACATGGTTTGTCATAACTCATTTTGCTACCTACGCTATGTTATAGTGATGATCAACTCTGAGGACGACGTGTTAATTTTATGCGATTACAAATTAAAAAACAAACAAACAAAACACCGATTTTGAGATGACATAAATGCTGTACAATTTTTAATTGACTCCTTGAAACCCACAATAAACGTCTGTTAATAAAAGTCACCCGCTACCTGATAGTATTGTAACCCAGCTGATAAAAAAACATTATAAAAGATTTGCCAGTAATTTCCCCAGGAGTAATCGATTTTTTTGTTCTGAAATCATGTGCATAATGTATATCATACACATGGTTACCATCTCACTTGCAAAATGTTTTTTTTTTAAATATAAATGGTGGCGTAACATATGACGTCACGACCACGTACTTTCACGATAACGACAAAGGTTGTACGGTAAAAAAACAAAATCAGGCCTAAGCCATATTATTGTGACCCTTAAAAATTGTTTGAAGTAAAAACTCATCTCTACATTTTTTATTATTTATTGCATGCAAACATGCCAAATTATTCCCACGCAATAAACATAAATGGCAGTTAGCGTTCCAACAGATGATATACGTATATTTTGTGGAGTGGGAACTCACGTTTATTTACCTAACGACCATGACTCGTTAAGTGTAAAAAAACCATGACGTTAAATCACGGAGTAGTTGTCATATTATTTCGATTGAATGCTGAATCAAACGTGCTTAACCTGTAATGACCGATCTAACTACTATGTATTAATCAAAGAACATTCTACAACGCCAATGGTCATTTAGAAAGTAGATTTTATAAACATATTGATTGAACTTCCGACATGTTTCTTCACCTAAATTTTATCACCTTTATCTTGCAGGCTCCATGCATTTGCCATAATAACATAGGCCTAATCAAATTTTGCATTAAGATGCTAAGATGTGTAAAACAACCGATAGGTATTAATTAAAATCAATTCAAAAACTTTTATTTTCCAAATTATATAAAACATGCAATTAGAAATTTGTTGTTTGATACACTACGTAAAATATAACAAAAAATAATAATAAAAAGTCAACACACAGAAAATAAAAAAGGTTGAACACACAATAAAATAAAATATATATGAATAAAAAAATATATAAATATTTATATATATTTATATATATATAAATACATATATATAATATACAGGCTATAGTATATTTTTTATTTATTTATAATTATAATTATAATAATAATAATTATTATTATTATTATTATATTAATAAACACATATGTAGTTTACTTTGCAAAGCATAGTGCTCACTGATGAAATTGTGAATTTCTATCTAGGCCCTATCCAGACGCAAGTTTATTGACTATGACACTTGTCATGCAGCAGCCCAAAACACTCTGTTTTCTAGGATAAACTATTGTAAGTTATTGTATAGTGGCTTGTACAAAAAAAAATCGCAATAGATTGCAGAAATTGCAAAACTCTGCTGCTAGAATAATATTCTCATTCAACCCCAGTACACTCTGCTCCGCTCAGGGAGCTTCACTGGCTGCCTGTTGACGGTAGAGTTTTTTTTTTGTTTTTTTTTTAAATCATTCTTACTGTCTACAAAGGTATAAATGGCTATTCCCCTTAGTATTTATCCTCACTCCTTCGTCGTTCCAACACGAACTACTCGATACTCCTCTTCATCTCACTATTGTACCACATTTGTAACAAGAGGATCGGTACCGGTATAGTTCATCATTATTCGGTTTATGCTGGCCAACTCTGGAATAATCTTCCTAATGATCTTAACATAAGAACATTTATGTTAATATTTTAAAAGTTCTAATGTTAATATTTTCAAAAACATAATTTAATATTCCGATTGATTAAACTACCAGATTAAGCTTGGTTTTATAGTTCAGCTGAGAGCAAAGAGAGTGTACGCTGATCGCAGGATTAAAAACACTCACCAAAACACTTAAATAATATCGTTTCTTAAATTATGCTGATGATCAATTAAGGGAATTTCGCAATAAAACTAAATCTGTAGAAAAAAAACTGACGCTTTTCATAATTTATATCATGTTTTTCTGTAGTAAGCAAGATAGATTTGTGTAGGTTTTTTGTAATTGTACGTTCGTCACTCCATAAAATTATACGCGCACTTAGCATCGAAAATAATAGCGATACCGTAGCGATAACAGGCCTGTATTCCGGTACTGTTTCCAACTTTTAAAAAAATCCTTCACCTAATACTATCTTAACTCTCTGGCTAACTACACACATTTTTTTAAAGGTTTATTACTTATTCTGTTTTCCCATTTCTCAACAGCGCCCTGCATCCATAGGAAAGAGCATGTGCTCCATAATTCTGTAATTATTATCAAATTACAAAAGAGCAATCGGAGATCGACTTGGATCCATAGCACATTTGGTAAGCAACTCGAGCGACATTCAGAGGGACTAAGCTTTAATCAAGATGAGGAAAATACATTTTTGTCTTAAAGGGCAATAATACTTAGGCCTACTAGGTGTGAAACAACAAAATAATGGTAATAGTAATGCTAATAATAGGCCTGATAATAAATTATAATTATTTTTTTGCACGTATATGTCATTTATTCAGAAAAATTCCACAACAAATTACATATTACAAATTGTTTACATAGGCATCAAAAGAAGCGGTGGTTTGTCAGTTTGAATACCAAACATTATCACTATCTGTGTAGAGAGAAGGGTTGAAAACATGCTTTTTAAACTCGAAAAAGTCCAAAGCCTGAAGCAAGCTAAATGAAAACAAAATTTCATTGAGATATCAGCTGAACTATTCTAATATTGAATTTCAAAATGATATAACATTCATGACAAATAATTAAATTATTACTCACGTTTTAGCCTTAGCGCATCCAGCAGTTTGCCCAGAATACCTTTATGTGATTTTCCATCTGGATGAGAGACTAATATATCTATATCTCCACATGTGGGTTTACCCCGCCGAAATGATCCACAGGTCGTTAAAACATAACCAGAATCGATCTCATGTGCTGTTTCAGTGACCTTAACAGAAAAGCATATAAAAATTACATAAATATCACAATAGGTATAAATTATTACAAAAGAATTTCCCATAAGAACAGTAGGCCTGCTATAATGTTAGAAATCGGGGTCGGGTACGGGTTCGCCAATGGGTACGAGTTTGAATGAGTACGAGTTGGCATGGGTACGAATTTGCCGACACACGTTGATTCCCGTTGATTACCAAGGTCTATAAACTTAAATCATGTATTTAGGCTGGCGAAGTAATTTTACTAACAAACCGTATATATTGAGAAGTAAGCCTACGTGCACTATCGCTCTGTTGTGTATTATCACGATCGATGGCTTCTTACAATGGGCTCAACTTACTCACAAAAAAAAAAAAACTGACCTTAACTGTAGGACGATTTAGATGAGAAAGTATTTTGGATCAAAATCTTAGCTAGCAGACACAGGTACAAATAGACTTAAGCTATGTCATTTATGGCCTTTAATTATAGTTACCGAAAATTGTCATACCTCCATATAACTACATGGAGTATATTTACAATTAGTGTCAACCATTTAACAACTGACAAATCAGAACAGGCCAAAGAAAATGCAATTGTCCCACAATTCATGTGTCGTCCAATAAATGGCAGCGTTAACGTACGTTAACGCTCGCTGCACAACGTTAACCTTAACGTCGCACAACGTTAACTTTAACGTTAACGGATGACGTCATAATTTATTCATCTTGCGTTGCGGAGTACGTTAATTTTAGGATTTTACGTGCTCGACGTACGTTAGTTACAGGTTTGCGCATGCGTATTTCGATTTGTTTACAAAATGGGCGGAGTTATCACGTTGCATGTTGGGTACTAACGTTAAGGTCGTGTGGTGAAAACTACCTATTTTGTGGGACTTTAGCCACATCATTTAAAGAGCCGGGCTTACCGGAAAGTCCATTGCCTTTATTTCATGATGGTAATGTTAAACTACGAGTAAAGCTCCCCACATTAAGCCTATAAAATGTTTTCAAAAAACCAGTCGAAGCATTTATTAGTTTAATAATCCACGTCTATCACCCCAACAGAATTGAACTGAAGTGAATGTATTTGACTTTGACTCTCTCTATATACAATATATAAAATACATAGTAAAAATAAGTCATTTAAAACAAATAAAAATACTATAAATATACAAGATACAATAAGAGAAAAATCAGGATAACCAATTAAACTTTTAATTATAAAGTTTGTTTCCGATGGGGTCCACAACGAACATATTACAACAGGTAAAAAATATCAAAGAATCAGCATTAAATATTCTCATAATAGCATTTTAAATAGAACAATCAATAAAATGTTCAAAAAAAGGCAAGTACGAATTATTAAAAACAGTAATCAATGGCAAGATTAATAAAGGCAACAGTATAAAATGTCAAAGATAAAAATGTTGGTAATAAAATCTATAAAAGTGTTTATAATGTATGTAGCACACTTTATTCAAAAATTGAATACAAGGCCAACATGGCCCAACATGAAACACATGCCTGGCATGCACAAGTACCAGATATCACACCAGGTATATACCATCACAAAATGCTTAAATTGTATTTATTTGTTTGTTTAATTTCTATTCTACTTACTTTTTTTTTTTTATTAATAAGCTATAACCTATCCGTATATCAATCTAATAGTTCATTAATCTTTCATTTTGTTGGACTTCAGTAAAACATCCAAAGAGCCTGGCTTAACGAAAAGTCAATTGACTTTCGAGTAAGGCTCCCCACATTACGCTTATGAAGTATTACTAAGAAAACAGTCGAAAAATTTATTAGTTTAATAATCCACATCTATCAACCCAACAGTATATATTCTATCCGTGTATTTTATATAATCTCTATTATTGCGTCTCTTTTCATAAAAAAAAAATACATAGTTCAACAATTAAAAGGGGACATAAACAATTACAAACAAACATAGCTAATAATCAATAATAATTATAGTAATAATTTCTAATTAATATTGTTTCTCTTTTAATTTAATTATATTTCGCCAACTCTAATGTAATTATTCAAATAATATTATTTATACTTTTATTGTCATTTGTTAATCCTTTTTGATATAAACGTAAATCGCAATTCAGCCTTTTTGGCTGCCATGACGTATGTTGTTATATATCTGTCTCTTATACACATCTAGATGTGTATAAGAGACAGCGTTAAGGTCACCTCGTCGAGTAAATACTCGAACGCAATATGGCTAAATCTACGTTATGCAGATAACGTAGAACGCCAGGTAGGACGGTCACGCACGAGTGATTCCGTTCAAGCGTCGCGTCGTCGCACAAATCGAAAGCTCCGAGTGTCGTACTTGCTTTGTCTTTTATGTGACATTGGGTCAGACACTCTGCTCTATTGACCTTTCCGCTAACCCCAGCCCCTTGGATCTTGTTGCTATGGTCCCACAAAACATTGTAAACGTACGTTTAGACGCTTGCATTTGCGGGACAGTACATGTGTTGATAGGACATAAGTAATGTTATGTACATTTAAACTACTCCTCTGGACCAGGGATGGCTGCTCCCTGTACGATGTTGATACGGTTTATGATTTTATTACTGTATTTGAAATGTATGGGAGTATGATGAAGATTAGATAGTAAAAACGAAGGTAGCACGGGAAGATGAAGATCTTTTTTCAAATGCAATTAGCGTGTGGCGCAGCGTGGAAGGTGTTGGACTTTTGATTGTCAGGTCGGGAGTTCGAGATCGACGCTCGTCGCATTGCTTGTGTCCTTGGGCAAGGCACTTTACCTACGTTTGCCTCTCTCCACCTAGGAGTATAAATAGGTACCTGGTAGGTATGGCATTGAATGTACTGTATGGGTCGTGCGTGTTCAAGCAGCAATGACCAGGGATACTCCACAGGGAGCAGAGAAAGTTGCACAATGTGCGGATTTACCAGCTTAGCATCCAGTGACCAGGGAAATAATGATGACAGTGCCTTGTATAATTGCTTGTAAAATCTGCAGATATAAATTCTGACTCTAAAACTTAAAAAAGAAACAAAAGCAAAATGTTCGAGAAAACTAAAAATGAGTAACACAAGTTATTAGCAGAGAATTTGAATGTCGCATCTGAAAGGATTACATATACAGACCATCTATTTTTTTAGAAACAGGTTAACAAATCATAACAAAAATATTGTGTAAATGGATGACGTTCTCATCATCATCATCGCCGTATCGCTGAAAAGTCTGATGACAATTCCGCTTTGGCCGCTTTACTTAATTCCTCGATGAGCCCTTTCCAAATATGTCTGTTTTGTGCCAGTAATTTTAGTTTTAGTTTCATTTTAAATTTTTAGTTGATCTGGATATTGAGTATTGGTAAACCGGATCTCTTACTGAGGTCGTTATGGAGAGTTGTGATTATTGTAGTCCTTGGACGTCCCCTGAATTTTCTGTTATTGGTCTCGGTGAAGTAGAAGTTGATTGCCAGGTTTGTAGGATTGTTTGTGTTTTGTCTCAGGATGTGGCCAAGTAATTGCCATCTCGATTTTAAAATTTCTAGTGACAAGGGTCTCGCCGTACATCTATCATAAAGGTGTTTATTTGATATTCTACGGGGGTATTTCAGTCCAATAATCCTTCGGAGTTGCTTACGAAGACCCTAACTTTTTTTGTTAGTTTTCAGTTCTTTTTGACTGGTTGTTCTCTTTTAATTACTGTGTATTCTGTTTCATCTTTGTTTACTTTGAGATTAAACGAAATTAGGTGAGCTCCAATAAGGTCTACATTTGCCTTCTCGTTTAGGCTGACGAAATCGACATCATCCGCATACGAGATCTCATTTGTAATAGGATCAATAATTTTCACCCTGATTCCCCTAAACGTGTGTTCAAGGTACACCGTGAACAGCACTGGGCTAAGACTGTCCCCTTGTGGTACTCCAGTGTTCGTATCAAAATATACATTGTCTGAAGTCCTGCTAAGGTTAAATTGAGCCCTGTTTGGCTTAGCAAAAATCTTTATATGCGAAGTTTGTCTTCATTGATAATCCCTTTTAATATTGTAAAAGTGTGTCCCTGTTAATGGCGTTCTGCAAGCTAAAAATCCACTTCAAAAACTCGTGAACTGCAGCACAATTATTAACAGAGGAAATATTTTGAACATTTCTAACGAATATATTAATTAATTTTGACATCATTTGACGGTCAATATTTTATTGTTTAATATATTATAAACAATGTTGGATCTTACAACTCTCTGTATTTCTTCAACTTCTTCTCTTGGCATACGATCCAGGAACTCATCATAGTACTTCATACCGATCGTCTGCTGTCGATTTAGAGTTGCTTTTTTCATCACATCATCCAGAGTACGATATCCCTATAGGTGCATATAATAAAAATAATGATACATAAACAATGGTAAATATTTCAATCTAAATACATTGATTATATTTCATCATACAGTTGTCTGATGACGTGACTATGCAT